TTTTTTTTTTTTTTTTTAATAACAAAAACGGGCCCAGTGCCCAAGGCTTGTATTATATTACCCAAAGAATAGAATAGAGGCAAGCAAAAGCTCCCTCAAACTTGGCCAACATCCTCAATTGCTGCCAAAAGCTCAACAGATTTTTTTGCTTTTTCGTGTTTCGTCAGTCTCATTCGTTTTGTTGTGACAATTTGGTTTTTGCCCCTCAAACTTGGCCAACATCCTCAATTGCTCCCAAAAGCTCAACAGATTTTTCTGCTTTTTCGTGTTTTGTTAGTCTTTCCCCATTCTCTTTTGTTGTGACAATTTGGTTTCATCCTCAATTGCTCCCAAAAGCTCAACATATTTTTCTTCTTTTTCGTGTTTTGTTAGTCTTTCCCCATTCTTTTGTTGTGACAATTTGGGTTTTGCCCCTCAAACTTGGCCAACATCACCCAATTGCTCCCAAAAGCTCAACATATTTTTTTTTATTTTTCAAGTTTTGTATTACCATTCTTTTCGTTGGCACAATTTGCGTTCTGCCCCTCAAACTTGGCCATCATCCTCAATTGCTCCCAAAAACTCAACATATTTTTTTACTTTTTCAAGTTTTTGCTAGTCTTTCCCCCTTCTTTTTGTTGGGACAGTTTGCCTTTTGCCCCTCAAAACTAGGCTAGTGAAGATCCGCTGTTGTTCTTTTTTTTTTTTTTTTTTTTTTGGACCATTTCTCGATTTATGCATGTCATCCTTGCGCAGGGGCCATGCTAATCTTCTCTGTATCGTTCCAATTTTAACGGATTCCCTGGGGCGAGGTCCCACTAGCAACGGGATAGGATAGAACGAGTTTGTGGGGCAGTTGAGTGACCCAAATCCTGCCGTGCAGTACTCGTGATCCCACGATCAGTATTTTACATGTATTACCCGAAAAAGTAAGGAGATCTTCGTTCCCCTCCTCCTCTCCTTAGCACTGGGCATGCCCGTGCAAAGAAAGCTTCCCGCCAGAATCTTTTCAATCGGTTGGGGGTGTGGCCAACCCCAAACGAGGTTGGGGTCATCCTTAGGCTGGGACCCCACAGGAATGCGGAAAGGAAAAACTTTGCCGCGGAAGTGTTTCCGGGGCCCCACAGCCTGCGTATAATGCATTAGAAAGCGGTGAATTATTTCCAAGGACCGTTTTCGGGGACCCCACAGACCGCATTTTTTAGCGTGGAAGGTAGCAGTTGGATGTTTTCACTCCGTCTACATCCTGGAAAAGGCCGTCGGGAGGAAAGTTCGCCGCAAAAATGTGTCGAAAGTTGAGACAGGCCTCGAGGGCTGTCGCGCACTTTTCCAAGGTCTGGTCCGGTTTTTGGACCGCGTAATGTCCATGCTTGCCCCCCACGTACCCTCGCCCGTTCTGTCGGTCCAGCGGGCGCCTCCCGAACAATAAAAACTTTCCCTTTTCGGCCACCCCCCACGGCCCTTTCCTATTTCGGAAAGAAATATTGCAGCTTCGCCGCGAAACGGCCTCCGCGGTAGGATCCCGAAAAAATGAGTTTCCAGCTTTCTAGAAACTCTTGCCCTCTCTTTGCGGCCGACCGGCTCTTCCATTCGCACCATAGTGGGGTCCCAACCTTAGCCCACTGGATAGAAGATTTTCAGCATTTTACTTGCTGTTGTGCAATTATCTCATTGGGTGGAACCCTCTTTCAATCACGGAGTATATGGGCGGTGTCAGGATCAGTGCTGACAGAAGTCGAGTTTATTCCAGAAAATGTGGCGGTTACTTTGTTCACTGTTTTTGCAACCACCACCATCAGATCATTTGTGATCTGATGGCTGGGAATATACTTACGTTGTTGCATCTGGACGTCTGCTTAAGCAACGAGTAGGTATCCCTATGGGTAAGAGTAGTAGCCCTCCTCTGGCCTGCATCCTCTGTGCAATGAATGATTGCATGTTTTTGAGGAGCTTGGGGATTGAGCGGAATCTAGTGAAGGGCGTTCGTCTGATTGATGATGTTTCTCTCTTTGTATGGAGTCCTGCAAGGAGAGGAAAGGAGAGAGCCGAGAGGGTGTTGAATAAGTTTGTCAATGCGTATGATGACCAGCTTACCTTGAAGAAAACGGATGATGGAAGTGGTATTTGGAATTTCCTTGGCACAACGATCGAAGTGGCGAGAAACGAAGTGACTTGTCAATCCTCTCCAAAAAACATGGATGAGGTATGGGCAGACGGAAGGTTGAATTTTCGTACTCTACAAGATTTCGATTCATATACTTCGACCAAACAGAAGAAAGTTGTGATCGGCAGCACACTGTGCCGAATCCAACAGATGACTTCGAATGCGGAGTTAGCTGGCCTGGGGTTGTTGACACTGAAACGCCAGTTACGTTTGCAAGACTATCCTGGGAAGTTGTTCAATGATTGTTTGCTCAAATTCATTAARGAGAAAGCCCCCTCATGGGAAAAATGGGGGCAACGACTGTGTAATTGGTAAAAATAAGGGGTATGCTTCGGACTGTAGGAAGGGTACTTTTGATTTTCGCAGACTGAAGCGGTAGCTGGAACTGGGACAGGTACAGGTTGGAAAGACTGTTCGGCTGGGAGAGTACTTACGAGAATTTGGTTGGTTCAATGGGACTGGGACCGAATAGGGGAGTACGGTACGGTAACTAGCCTGTCTCTTATACACATCTAGATGTGTATAAGAGACAGGTACGGTACGGTAACTGGGTCTGGCTATTGGTGGACGGTACTTTCGGAAGACCAGATGTTTCGAGAAGTCGGGTACCATCGGACCAGAGACTGGGACTGGTACTGTAGTCGTAGTCTTTTCGCGTAGACTGAACGACACGGTCGGTAAGAGATTACTTAAACTTTCTTCGATACGTCATTATCATCTCGAACTAACCCCCTGATGAGGTCGTACTAGCGGCGGCCGAAACTTGACACACACGTGTGGTTATGTGTTTTCAGCACTTTGGGTCGACTTGTTTGACTCTACTTGCTTTCATCATTTGACGAGCAGTGGCAACCAGCTTGGAGATTTTCACCAAGTTTACGGTGGCTCTGTAGTACTAGGTACGGGGGGGCGCCTCCGCTGTAAGGCGTCTTCAATTACGAGCAATGGCTGAGAACGGCAACGGGGGAGGGAGCAACGACGGTAATGGAGGGAACTGGAACCAAGGCGGAAACGGAGGGGCTTCGAACGGTAAGGGAGGCGGAGGCGGTAATGGTGGATGGAGTGGTAACAACAGTGGAAATGGAGGAGGAAGCAATGGCGGATGGAACGGTAATAACGGGGGAAACGGTGGATGGAACAACGGTAACGGCTGGAACGACATCAGGGGTAACGGAGGGAATGGAGGGAATGGCTATGGAGGGAACGGTTGGAACGGGAACGGAGGAAGTGGATGGAATGGTAACAATGGGAATGGAGAAAATTTTGGTGGGAATGGATGGAGCAACAACGGAGCCAAGGAAGTAGTAGCCGAGACTGGAAACGATCGGCACGCTGCTATAATTGCGGCCAATACGGTCACATTAGTCGGGAGTGCAACGCACCACGACAAGGTAACCAAGGCAATCCAAACGGCAACTTCAACCAAGGAAGCAATCACCAAGGAGGTGGTCGGGGAAGCCATGGAGCCAGCACGTCGGGAAGCTCGAACGATGCTACTATGGCCGTCGGACTCAGTAAGGATTTGGAGGAGGGAATTCGACAGATGTGTAAGTTTACACAGAAATAGATGGAGATTACAGAGAAGAAGGAGGTTGAGATGAAAGCAGAAGAGGAGAAGAAGAAACGGGAGAATGAGAAGAGAGTTGCTAAGGAGGAGCGTACTAGGATCGAGACACTGAAGAAGAAGGCGTAGGAAGAAAAGGAAGCGGATCGAGAGTGGAAACTGGTGATACTCCTGGCAAAACAGAAGGAGTCGCTTTGGGAAGAGTTTGAGCGGATATTTGAAAACCGCTTACGCTAGATGGCGATAACTGAGCGAGTTGTGAAGGGGAAGGGTCCTGCCGTGGAATCCGAATCCGAGGAGGAGGAGGAGGATGACAAACGACTGGAGAAAAGAAAGAAACACCCGATTCAAGCTACTCAGCTTAGCCCTCAAGGGGAGGCTCCGACAAAAGTGGGCCGCGCGGTTGCTGCTTCACCATGTGCCACTGGAAGGATGGAGGAATCTCCTCGACTGGGAGTACCTGGTCAGAGGGACAGAGGGAATGGGGGTCTGGGTTTTCCACCGAGAGAATCAGCCCTATGGGAAGGGGCACCTTCGGGTGAAGATTTTAACACGGTTACTGCTTTGAAGAAAGCTATCCGAAGGTTCTTGAGCAAGAAGGTCAAGGCCACGATCGAAGCTATGTGTCGTGAAGCAGGTGTGGTGTATAGGGCGCGACCCGAAGCTGTTGATGAGCTGATCGAGTTACGTGTCGTGTTTTTTAGTGTTAGAGCTCCTCAGACCACACCACCGCCGAGAGCACGAGGTGGAATTGTGATACGTGATGTCGTTGTCACACAGGATCGATCAAGGGAACCCCCAGCTGGCAATGATGCCGCTGGGAGTAGTGATCCACCAGAACAGTGAGCTTTGGCGAGATCTCGGTAAGTATTTTGAATTGCGTCGTCTATTTATATCGGATCCTGCGATAGGGGTTCGAAGATTGCGTGAGTTGATGGAGCTCGTTCTACGGTATTTGGTAGTTCTGTTAGTACTAAGGGGCGAAATTCAATGGGGTTCTAAGTTTTTGGGGAATTGGTTGGACCTGATTGATAATAAGTTAGATGCATGGGAAACTGTCGAAGGGTGTGTTTACGTTTTGATTGACCCAGGGACGAGGAAGGTGTATATCGGTCAAACTAGGCGAAAACTGTTCACCCGATGGGATGAACATGTGCATCGAACTAATAATAGAGATAGTACTAGGAATTCGCGGCTGTATTCATGGCTTCGACATTGGGGGTCTTCGAATTACGTTGCTATCCCAATTGCGTTTGCTCCGGTTAACGAATTGGAAAGAGTCGAGAGCGTTTACATTAAAAAATGGACGCATGCTTTAAATACCAGAGGTGCAACAAAATCGGGTTCGAGGAAGAAGAAGACGAAGAAGACTCGAAAAGGACGGAAGGAAAGGAAGGAGGGAAGGGCAGGTAGGGTACGGAACCAGCGACCTTTGGTTTTTCTTCTCCTGAACTGGAAAGCATAAAACTGGTTGACGTATGCCGATTGATTTGGGCAGGGGGGAAAAGGTTTAGTACGGAGCGGGGAAGAGTCTGGGGACAGGAATGGAATGTCGTTAGACGGGTAATAGGGAGTAGTGTACTGAGAAGAGGAACGAAGGTTGGATTAGTCCGGGATTTCAAGAATAAGTTGGAGGAAGGGGGTACGTTTGAATTGATGAAGTGGGAGTCTAATAGTTTGACGTGCAGGAAGAAGGAGTTGAAGAGGCAACTTCATCAGGTCATTAGGAACCCATGGAGTAAGAAAAAGTTGTACAAAGTTAACCTAGACTATCTGATGGAATTGTCCTCTGTTGTTAAATGTTTTTCAAGGTCTACTGCTCGTTCTTCACTCAGAGACATACTTGTTAGTGTAATCTGGAGTAAATTTGGTTTTAACTTGAGGAAGAACTTTTGTGTGAGTGTTACCTTTGACCGCGAGGTGTCTTTACGAGCTGTTCGGGATTTGGCTTGTGTAAAGATTCGGGCGGAGTTCCCTGAATCACTGGCTACGTTTGCGTGTCGAAAGTTGTTGGTTACTTGGCGAAAGAATCGCTAAGTACGCCATCTCCTTCATAACCATCGTTTTGTCTCCCAACAGACGGTGGGAATCTGCACATGCGCAGATAGTTGCCTTCCTAAAGTGGAAGGTCACGTCAACTATAAGCTAAGTGATTTGGGTGGAGAAAGGGGTTTTGCTCGAAACGCTCGAAATGTTGTGTGTGAATCAGAACAGAGAAAGGATGCTCGAGTGATGAGGGAAGTTAACGACAACTTAAGTAAGTTAGGTGTATCTGGCTTGGTTGATATGAGGGAAGCGAGAGGGTGTGTACGAGAGGACTCGGCAAGGAAGAGTAAGGGGGATCACTTGGATGAAGTGGAAGCGATCCTGGTACAGACCAGGGATCTGGTGTGATCTGCTGTTGACCGCAATAGTGCGGAAACAGTTATCATGTGCCCGAAAGTTTATCCAGAAGGTATGAAACACATGTTCTGGAGGAATGACAGTTTCGAGGCAGTCTGGGAAACAGAGGCCGAAATCTTGGAAAAGTGTAAACGAGCCTATACTAAGATGCATCTGGACGAGTTGGGAAAATGGAATGGGAAAGGTAAGTGTGGGAGGGCATATATTATACCAAAATCCAAGGATATATGCCGATTTTGACCAATCAGTCCATCTTATCCTGAAGCGTCAAAGACTGCAAGTGGTAGGATCGCACGTGCTTTCAATCACCTGCTGTTCTTACTACCGAAAGATATGCATTTCAATTTGAAATCTACGTCTCTGTTAAAGGAACGACTGGTGGAAGTTAACAAATGGGTAGGGAGAAAAGGCCAAGGGGAATTGAGGGGGGTAGCTTTTGACATAAAGGAAATGTTCAGTCAGCTGCCGCACGCCTCCATTCTCCGAGCGGTTGATTGGATTTTGGACTGGTACCAGTCAAAAGGAAAAAAAATGGTTTCGGTGAGAAGAAGGGGAAAAAGTGTATCGTTTGCTAGAAAGAGTGAAGAGGATGGATGGATGAGAATTCGATTTGATAAAATCCGCGAGATGGTAAAGTTTGAATTGGAACATACTTACGTCGTTGCATCTGGACGTCTGCTTAAGCAACGAGTAGGTATCCCTATGGGTAAGAGTAGTAGCCCTCCTCTGGCCTGCATCCTCTGTGCAATGAATGAATCCATGTTTTTGAGGAGCTTGGGGATTGACCGGAATCTAGTGAAGGGCGTTCGTCTGATTGATGATGTTTCTCTCTTTGTATGAAGTCCTGCAAGGAGAGGAAGGGAGAGAGCCGAGAGGGTGTTGAATAAGTTTGTCAATGCGTATGATGACCAACTTACCTTGAAGAAAACGGATGATGGAAGCGGTGTTTGGAATTTCCTTGGCACAACGATCGAAGTGGCGAGAAACGAAGTGACTTGTCAATCCTCTCCAAAAAACATGGATGAGGTATGGACAGACGAAAGGTTGAATTTCCGTACTCTACAAGATTTCGATTCATATACTTCGACCAAACAGAAGAAAGTTGTGATCGGCAGCACGTTGTGCTGAATCCAACAGATGACTTCGAATGCGGAGTTAGCTGGCCTGGGGTTGTTGACACTGAAACGCCAGTTACGTTTGCAAGACTATCCTGGAAAGTTGTTCAATGATTGTTTGCTCAAATTCATTAAGGAGAAAGCCCCCTCATGGGAAAAATGGGGGCAACGACTGTGTAATTGGTAAAAATAAGGGGTATGCTTCGGACTGTAGGAAGGGTACTTTTGATT